TGCGGTGTGTAGTCGTTCTATCATGTCTTCGAAAGCGAACTCATGTGATGTTCCGGGAAGGCTGCCATCAAGAGGGCATCGTTTCTCACCTGTGTACAACAGCTTTAGCTATATATATATATATTAAGATATATTAAGTATCCCTGAGTGTCGTTTGTCTTTGTTATACGTTATCTAAGTCGAGAACGTCTTTGCTAGTATGTACTTAAAAACCCTGGCGACGGATGCAGGCATACGAAACTGCCCTAGGCGACGAACATCAAATATGAAGGCGACAGGTTGACGGCGAATCGACGACGACTCGACGACGACGTCGACAAGAGCGACGGCGACGATACGACGACGACGCGACGACGTCGGTGAACACACGCTGTCGCAATAGATTTTGGGAGCAGTCGATTAAGTTCTGTTTGCGGTCAGAGTCAGAGCGATTGTTTTTCAATCGCTGCCAGAGTTTTCTGGGCTGTATAAAGTCTTGCCGACCACTTGCATGCTGGTCAGCATCTGGTCAATGCATCCTGTTTCCTCGTTATCAGATGCTGTATGCATCTCATATGCAGCGAGCATTGCCAGCAAAGTTGCCCCCATCACAGTTCCAGAACACCTCACAGATATCTACCCGCAACATCAACCGACAAAAACTGTGTTAACTGCAGCAACAGCGCAGTCAAGGCACGCGTTTCCAGCCAAATTGCAAAGCTGGGTTTCGGTAAACCCTTCCAAAGTATCCTCTTCATACTCCAGCCCCTGGAACTTCAACATCTCCCTTCCTCGCATGCATGCAGCATGGATACAGGATAGGATACATGATATACAATATATATATATGAAATCTATGAATATGCTGCCACACACAGTTCCCAGTCGCCCCACACTGAACTCGAGCTAAGCAATGCACCGATAACCAAGCGATTCCGAGCAAAGCTGTACAGCACTGATTAAGGCAAAGCAATCGGGATGTGAGTCTTGGGGCCTGTGTTGAAACGTGTCGCACTGTGATAGACGTCTGCGTACGCAACGTCGGCATCCTTCTTTTGACTGTCAAGAGCGGCAAGGGATAGCACCTTCCCACAAAAGATAAAGCACACTGCGCAAACAAATGACTCATGACTCATAACGTAAGGCAACACATATACTTCCAATGAAGCATGATCCAAGAACAGCACTTCCCGCATACGCCCTGGCATGGATTGATACCAAGGACTGGATGCCAAAGAATCCGGCAGCTTTATTGGCCAAGGGATACCGCCTGACTCCCCCCTTCCCCAACTCCCTGATTTGTCAAAAGCAAAGCCCTCGGTAACAAAAATTGCATAATGCCAAACAGTCTGCAAGGAACGTTTTTCAGCCAAGTTCATATGCATCTTGACCCAATTCTGAGATTTATCTGAAGATGCCCCGGTGCTCAGCCCATTATTGCTTCTTACTTTCTGCAAGCGCTCAAGCTCAGCAAGTACAGCAGGGTGGTCATCATCGAACAACAGTTCATCCTTACAGCACGCAACAAGTTCTGGCTAGTGGCTTTCCTTGCAAAGAAAAATGATTGAACTGCTGAAATCACATGGTAAGCGATTTAGCTGTGCGTCTGGAGAGGGAGGATTCACATACATCTTCGATAGATATAGCTGCACCCGCTCCAAATACACGTCAGGATGCACTCCAAGCTCATCACCGGAAGTCTTCACTCCAACTACGTACACCCGTTCCCTGTTTTGGGGTAGTCCATACCAAAGTGTGTTCATCAAGAATGGTTTTACTGAGTAGCACAAGTCCGGGCCTGCGTCTTCTTTTGAAAGCCGTGGCACGTTGCGCAGGATAGCGAGACACTGATCCAAATTGCTGGATGACCTAAATGTTGAAGAACACATTGGAAAAGGAACGCCCTAGGCCCTAGACTATGTCTTTGTTGCATTGTGCACTCTGTCACATTGCGCACAGTTGAAAACACTTAGTTAATGCTAGCCACTGATCTTCCTCAACGGCATCAATTCTGGGGACATTTTCCAAAAGGAAAAGCCGTGGGCGGGTGTAGCGAATCAAGCCCACGCAACCTTTGAAGGTGTCCACTGAGGCAACCGCCTTGCCATGGACATAAAAGAGCAGCAAGACTGAACGCCCATGCTGCTACTTATTGATTGTTAACACAATTGCAGACCTGCCTTTGATTCTTGAACTGCATTGAGGTTCAGATGGCTTTGGTTGTTCAAGCTGCTGTACGAAGTGCAGCTGAACCCTGACATGAGAATGTCGATGTCTGTCGGTAGATCGCAACTCACGTTGTGGGTGATGCAACTCCTCTTCTTGGTGAACATCTCCCGGTGGTCCTACTAAAACACAACATGGTCAGTACAGAAGTCGCTCTGTGTCTTCCTGGAAAAACTCCGTCCCTCCTCAAACAGACAAGTCTTTGTGTCCAGGTTCTGTTGCAGGAATTTTTGCTTGAAGCTCTGTATCTCCACGGCAAACAAGCAGTTTGGATCCTGGCAACTCAAGCTTCAAAAACCTTGACATTGCGACAGCTTCTGGACAGCTTCCTCAGTCCTCGCCGGCTATGTCAAGTGCGTGTAGCAACGTGCGGAGGACTTCGGTGTAGCATGTTTCAAACCTGAGAACCAGCAGCAAAGAAAAGAACTAACTGGAACATGCACACAAGCCACTTCCCAAACATAACATAACATTTTTCATATCCAATGTTGATCCAAAAAACGAGCCAGTTCCTGAACATGCACTTGCAATCTTGGTCAGGGGTGAAGTCTTTAGCAGGTGAGAAAGACGGTGTTCAATCTCGCAGCCATTGTCCCTGTCATACTCAAAAAGACTTTGAGCCATGTCCTCCCAAATGCAAAAGTCACACACTGTGAACAACGAACAATAGGGGCTTGCAACTCTTGTCCTGTAGAGTGCTCACCAAGATATCAGTATAGCGTCCCTCTTGGGCAGGTTCATCTTGCGACTTTGACCCTGGCCACACCAACTTCTCTACAGAAACACAACAAAGAAACGATTGCAAGCCTGGTGATAGATCTTCCTCTTTCTTTGGAAGGTTTGGCATCCCGGGTTTCACCACTGAGGAAGTCTGGTGTGATTGCTGGTTGAACATGCGGAAGTATGCCGCCAACCAGAGAATAACATCCTCCCGCTGGCCATCAGGAGTGTCCCTGATGACAAAAAAGGTGAGCGGAGTGCCGGCTGCTGCAATCTGGCACACTGCATCAAACCGTGGATGATCTTGAATCTCAGTAACAAGAGTCATCATGTCTTCTTCTGACACTGAGCGTAGCGAGGATGTCGCTTCCTTGACGGCCTCTATGTTTCCTAGAAGCAGCAAGCGCAGCAGTGTCCAACTCGGTTCGTCCTCATCCATTTCTGTTGGTTCTGTCTTACACTCTACATCCAGCTTCTTCTCTTGTGTTCTCTGCTTTTTGCTCGGCTCGCTGGATGCAGCTTGTTCAGATTTCAGTCGCTTGAAGTGGTTGGCATCTAGCTCCTGCAATCTCTTTGCTGCCGCTGAAGCAGGACGACAAGTGGCCAACACACGTTGTTTCTTTGGAGGCAAATTCATTTCCATGTCTGGTAGGTCAATCAAATGAAACTGACCATCACGAACATGGTACTTGGCCTCTGTTCTTGCTATCATATCTTGGGTCACTACAAGATCTAGAGTCTTTGCAGCATGTTCAAGTGGGTTGCATATGTCCTGTGGAACTTGCTGTGGTTCAGTCGCAGGAATCAACCATGCCACAAAAGCAACGAAGTCGCACAAGATGTCACCCTCTGGATCTGCAAAGGTCCACTCATCAGCATCGAGCTTGTACGCTTCTTGCATGTACTTGATGTGCTCTTGAAGACGGGGGTGCTGCTTGCACTCTTCCAGGAGGCAATGAAGCAAAGCATCCTCCTCTTCCTCCCCCAGCGGCAAAGCTTCCCAGGTGTTTTTCACAGCATCATCAACTGAAGAATCAATCCAATTTGCCCGGGCAAGCTCAGTGAAGTCCTTCAAAGACATGGTTGGTTGGTTTGGAGCTTCATGCTTCTCATCCGGCTGGCAGGGAGTCATGGAAACATCTGCTGGTTTGTTGGACGGCTCTTCAACATTCTCGGCGGGCAGGGTGGGAGCTGCGGTGGGGACAGCTTCTGGTTG